AAAAACTAACGGTTCTCTAATTTGAATGGATTTCACAGCTTGCTTGGACGTAATGTGACTTATGTGATTAGGGATGTCAACAAGGTCCCGCGGGGCTGGGAGTCCGTCCCTGTCCCCATCCCTGTCCTTGCCCCATCCTTGTCCTTGTCCCCACAAATGGTGGGAACGAGGATCTTGTGGGGATTTTTTACGAGGGCAGATTTTGCCCCCTATCCTCATTCCTCGCAAAAATCTCCATTCTTCACCAATTAATATTAAATTATAAATTTTTTTTATCTTTTACATATAATTAATTAATATTCAATTATAATGAATAAAATTTTAAAAATTCAAATACAATTAACTAAAATTTTTAAATATGAAATCAAATATAAATTGTCCAAATATAAATAAAAATCAATTCAAAATAAATAACTAAATCAACAATTAACAAATTTGTTCCAAACATAAACAAAGATTAATCCAAGTTAAACTAAAATATAAGCAAAAATTAATCCAAAATAAATAAAATAATTAAACCAACATAAAAAAAAAAAATCAGTATTTTGAAAATAAAGAAAATCAGTACCAAGAAGGGCAAGGCCGCAATAGAACCACACATGGCTTCGACAGTCCAGATAGTAGCAACCAGATGGCTTCGACAGTTTGGCAGCAGCAGACCAGCAGTGCAATGGAGGGAATGGGATTTGAGATGGTCCAACTAGTGCAAAGGAGAAAATAAGGGGCAACAGAAGGTGAGCATTGAGAAGGGCAAGGGTAGAATCGTAGAAGGGTGGCAATGGAATGGAGGGCATTCAAATGGTAAAGTTGCATAGTAGAAGGAGAAGGAAAGCTGGGGAAGGTGAAAATGAAAATTGAGAAATGAATTAGGGTTAGGGTTAAATGTATGTAGGGGAATGGGTTGGGTTAATTTTTATGGATTGGGTTGGGTTGGGTTGGCTAAAATTGAGTTAAGTTTAATTTTGATTGAATTGGGTTTGAACTTAAGTTTGGGTTTGAGTTTGAAAGATGAATTAAATTTAAAATAAAACTAATTTATATTTGTTTTAATTTTTGCGAGAACGGGGATCTTCACAGGGCCCTGCAGGGCGGGAAAAATTTCCCGTGAAATTTCGCAAGCCAGAAATGCTCCTCATCCCCGCCTTGCGGGGAGAAATATTCCTCCTCGCCCTGTCCCCATAATGGGGATCCTCACAGGGCTCGCGGAGATCAGGGAAAATTGCCATCCCTACATGTGACCCATTGAACCCATTGAAGTCTAACATAGCCTCTCATGTCATTAAATCATTAATATTTTTGAATTTTTTTAAATAGTCAATTAATATTTAATTGTTGTAATTTTTTTTCATATATTAAAATTTAATTACTTACCATAAAAATCAATTGGGTTAATTAAATTTCAATTGTCACTTTGTCTAGCAAACAAGAATTGAAAATTCTAGTATTGTAAGATGGTTTCACAACTAAGTAACATTTTTTTTTATTCATAAAATTTATCTCAATTTAAAAATTATGAAGAATTAATTGTTTATTTAAAATTTAGAAAAAAAAAAGTAGCTTGAAAGAGAAATTGAGAAGTACAAAATTACATAAATTATTTTTTATATAAATTAATTATTAAAAGGCATATATAAACTATTATTGAATTTATTTGTTTCTTTTTTTTTTTGT